CTGCAGCCTTGACTTGCTGGTATCAAGCATCCTCCCACCTTAGCCTCCCAAGTAGCCAAGTCCACAGCTGTGCACCACTATGCTTGGCTAATTTTTTTTTTAACTTTTAACTTTTAGTAGAATCAAGGTCTCACCACATTGCTCAGGCTGGTCTTGAACTCCTAGTTTCAATCAATTCTCCTACCTCAATCTCCCAAAATACTGGGATTACAGACATGAGCCACCTTGCCCTACCCATAGTGATGTTTTGATACATATAATGTATAGTAATCAGATCATGTTAATTTGCATACCTGTCACCTCAAACATTTTTCCCTCCCCCCCCACTTTCCTTCCTTCCTTCCTTCCTCTTTTTTTCTTTCTTTCTCTTTCTTTCTCTCTTTCTTTTTCTCTTTCTTTCTTTCTCTCTTCCCCCCTCCCTTCCTCCCTCCCTCCCCCCTGCTCTCTCACTCTCTCGCTCTTTTTCTCTCTTTCTTTCTTTGAGTTGCAGTCTTGGTCTGTCACCCAGGCTGGAGTGCAATGGTATGATCTTGGCTCGTGGAACTTCTGCCTCCCGGGCTCAAGCAATTCTCCTGCCTCAACCTCCCAAGTAGCTGGGATTACAGGCACACACCACCACGCCTAGCTCATCTTTGTATTTTTAGTAGAGATGAGGTTTCACCATATTGACCAGGCTGATCTCAAGCTCCTGACCTTGTGATCCGCCCACCTTGGCCTCCCAAAATGTTGGCATTACAGGTGTGAGCCACTACACCTGACCAATTTCTTTCTTTTTAATTATTACTTTGAAGTCAGAGGCTACATGTGCAGGTTTGTTACACAGGTATATTGCATAATGCTGGGTTTGGCGTTCTATTGAACCCATCACCTAAATTGTGAAAATAGTACCCCATACGCAGTTTTTAAATCTTCGCTGCCATTCCTCCCATTCTGAGGTCCCCACTGTCCATTGTTTCCATCTTTATGTCCATGTGTACACATTGTTTAGCTCCCACTTATAAGTGATAAAATGCAGTTTTTGATTTTGTTTCATATACCTAGAATAATGGCCTCCAGCTTCATTCATGTTGCTGCAAAGGACATGATTTCATTCTTTTTTATGACTGCATAGTATTCCATGATGTATATGTACCACATTTTCTTTATCCAGTCCTAACTGATAGACACTTAGGTTAATTCCATGACTGCTATTGTGAATAGTGCTGCAGTAAATATAAGAGTGCAGGTGTCTTTTTGATAGAATGATTTCTTTTTCTTGGAGAATCCCAGTACTGGGAGTACTGGGTCAAAGGGTGGTTCTATTTTTAGTTCTTTGAAAAATTTCCATGCTGTTTTCTACAGGGGCTGAACTAACTTACATTCCAACCAACAGTGTAAAAGGATTCCTTTTTCTCCACAGCCTTGCCAACATGTTATATTTTGACTTTTTAGTAATAGTCATTCAGACTGGTGTGAGATGGTATCCCATTGCAGTTTTCACTTGTATTTCTCTGATGATGACAAGCTTTTTTTCATATGATTAGTTACTCATATGCCTTCTTTTGGGAAGTGTTTGTTCATGTTCTTTGCCCACTTTTTAATGAGGTTATTTGGTTTTTGCTTGTTCACGTTCCTTATTGATTCTGGATATTTGTCCTTTGTCAGCCTGATCATTTGCAAATATTTTCTCCGATTCTGTAGATTGTTTATTTTGTTAATTGTTTCTTTGCTGCACTGAAGTCTGTTAGTTTAATTAAATTTCATTTGTCAATTTTTGTTTTTGTTACATTTGCCTTTGAGGTCTTAGTCACAAATTCTTTTTCTAGTCTAATGTTCAACAGTTTTATTTTAGGATGCGTATAGCTTAAGGTCATAGATTCAAGTCTTTAATCCATCTTGAGTTAATTTTTACATATGGTGAGAGCCAGGGGTACAGTTTCATTCTTCTGCATATGGCTAGCCAGTTTTTCCAGCACCATTTTTTTAGTAGGGTGTCCTTTCCCAGTTGTTTATTTTTGTCAGCTTTGTTGGAGGTAGATTGGTTGTAGCCTATGGCTTTATTTCTGAATTATCTGTTCTGTTCCATTGATCTGTATGTCTATTTTTGCATCCAGTACCATGCTATTTTGGTTATTAAAGCCTTGTAGTATAGTTTGAATTCAGAAAATGTGATGCCCCTTGGTTATATGAACTTTCATCAGGAGGCACATGATACTGGTTGTCTGCCTTTTAGTGATGTTACCTGCCATTGATAATCCTTGCCTGGGTCTACTAATTCCATTGGGATTTTAAATTACAATATTATAATACTATTATTTTCTCTTCATTTATTAATAAGAATACTTCTAAAAAGAGAAACTTGAACTCAGTTGTCTGGTTATCCTGTTGTAGAAGCATGATAAATACTTGATTTTCAAGTGTTCAAAATGCTTAATTGATTCCCCAGCATCCTTCAAAGGTGAAAGGTGTTGTGGGTTTTTTTTAAGTATTACTGTGAACACATTTACTTATACATAGTTATTACAATCCTTTGTAGTTATTAGCTCAATGACAGTCCTCCTGGCCCATTTTTGGGTAGTGGGAGCCTTTTGACATGACTCTGAATCTCTTTGACATGACTCTAGTAGTCTTGGGTAGACTTTTTGCTTTCTGATGTGACAGAAGCATTTGAGGCTCATTTGTTTTTACACTTGAAACTTGGAATCAGTCATTTCTCCAAAGAAGTCCCCCATTTTTCTTCAAGTGAGAAGTGGTATTTAGAGACTAGAATCTGGGAATAAGAGGTACTCATTGCTGCTAGGTTGATCTTTGTTTCTATGCCATTTTAATGGACAGAACTAGGAAAGATAGATTATGTATATATAAAATACATCATGATATTGATAATTCAAAATCAGTAATTACAACAAGGAATTTACTTAACCTCTTCAATCTTATAGATGTCTCTTTTCTCTACATCAAAATCCTGTTTTTCAATGACATTATATAATTATTCATTTACTTTATCCCACAGTGTACACATAACTGTTTCAGAATAATGCTACTACCAGCAATGTGATTATAGAAAAATAGCTGCAGGTTTTTTTGTCCTTAGGGTAAAATCTACTTAGGATTCCTAGTCAAGTTGGAATGGTTCCTTTCCATGAAGTTACACTCCAACTCAATACATAGTTACATTCAATTGGTTTATTTTTTCAAATTTTAATAATTGCTTCTTAACAAAGTACTACATTCTTCTAGATCGTATCTACAAAACAAAGTATATGGATATTGATCGACTTACCACCTATGCAACTTATGACCATGAGACTTTACGACCACAATTGCTAGCCACGACTGCTCGCGTCTGGCAGCGCAAACGTTGCCCAGCTGGGCGTACGACAGTGCAGACCAGCTTCTGGCAGCACTACCATGTATAAGTATATATAAATTATAAAGCAAGGTCCCAACCTCAAATGCCCACAAGGCCCATAAATATATCATGAGTGAGTCAAATAGTTGTCTTGGTATGTGTGCACACATTGAATAAATGGGGCAGGCAGCCTGTGCCCCTTTTTAAAAGGGCACTCATGTAGTAACTCTGAAAGTCAGTCTCTGCTGAATGCTAATTGATTGTTGCATTTGCAACAACGAATCCAGTGGAATATGAATCCAGTGTCATCAAGTTTAATAATTTTTAAAGTGGAAAACTCAGATTTTTAAGGTAAAATCTACCAATTTTTTTTTTTTTTTTGGCAGTGTCTCACCCTGTCACCAGGTTAGAGTGTGGCACAGTCACACCTCACTGCAGCCTCCATGTCCCAGGCTCAAGCAATCCTCCCATGTCAGCGTCCTAAATAACTGGGACTATAGGTGTGCGTTACCACACCCAGCTAATTTTTTATTTTTTGTAAAGATGGGCTCCCACTATGTTGCCTAGTCTGGTCCCTAACTCCTGAGCTCAAGTGACCCTGCCTCCTCAGCCTCCCAAAGAGCTGGGATTATAGGCATGAGCCACCATGCCTGGCCCCAATTTTTAAATGTTGCCAATGAATTCTCCAATTTTTTTTTAATCTTGTGCACACTAAAAACACCTGCAGAGTGTATTTATACTGTTGGTTACTCGTTTACAATCTCCGGCATGAAATATACTACTATGACATGAGAAAGGTATATCTTACATATTTTAAGAGATTTAAATACTATCTTACCTTTTTCTGATATAGAAATCTGTAGAAATTGTTTATATATCTTTAAACTGTCATAAACTATCAGTAATAACTGGAAATGTGGCATTTCCATGAAATGAGGCAATTTATGTTTGCCAGAAAACACATTAAAATATTTTGTAATCGTCTATTTTGTGAACTAGAAACAGCTGTGTTTGGTGAAGTGTTTGTTAGAATCTACTTTTTAAACTTAAAAAGTTATTTCTACTTTGCTTAGGTACCAAAGTTTAGTATCAAATGAAAAAGTTAAAATTATACTTTGTGATATATGGTTTTCTCTGCTTTTTCAAAAGCCAAGAGAAGCTAAAGAACTGTGTCTCTAAATACAAAAAATAGATTTCTTGGTAAACTGTTAATTTCTGAATATTCTACCCTTTTCCAAGGAAATTCCAGGATAATCTGTTATGAAATTATGATGGGTGATAGCTATTTTCTGTTACAAGTGAATTACAGCATTTAAAGAAATTTATAAGATAGCGAACTGGTTCACATTAATATATAAACTGAAAGATTCTGAGGCTCTAACTTTAGAACTTTTAAATGTAAACCTTTATAATACCCATTTAGTTATTTTAAAAATTCTGTTCTTCTACTCACCAAATAGTTTTAGGATTCAAATACTCAGGTGTTGAATTTTCTGCTTCACTCAGGGATTTGAATCTCTTTAATACTTAAATGCAGCCCACCAGTCTACTGAAGTGGTTTCTGTTGAGTAAGTGTGGGCTGAGTTGTGTGTTGTTGGAGGCAGATCACGTTGCGTTGAAGACTGTATTAGTCCAGTTTCCATTGCTATAAAGGAATACCTGAGACTGGGTAACTTACAAAGAAAAGAGGTTTAATGGACTCGTAGTTCCACAGGCGGTATAGAAAGCATGGAGGCATCTGCTTCTGGGAAGGGCTCAGGGAGCTTTTACTTGTGGTGGAAGGCAAAGCGGGAGTAGGCATCTTACACGGTAGGAACACGAGCAAGACAGAGAAGGGAGAGGTGCTGCACAGTTTTAACCAACCAGAGCTCATGAGAACTCTATCACCAGAGAGCACCAAGTGGATGGTGCTAAACCATTCATAAACGATCCACCCCCATGATCCAGTCACCTCCCGTAAGACCCCACCTCCAACACTGGGTAATACAGTTCAACGTGAGATTTTTGACAGGGACACAGATTCAAACCATACCATTGACTTTCCCTGGATAGCAGTGTCAGGAGGAAGTGTTTGACAGGTTTTCATTCAAAAGTTTTTAATATCCTTTCCAAACTATATAGCGAGTGTGTATTCTACATACAGTCAACCAATCCATAAATCACCCATGATAAATATTGAATTTATATTCTTTTTCCTTCATACACAGGCAAGCACATATACACACTGTTTAATCTGCTAGTGTTGCTTCTATGACTGGCCCAAATCACATGTGGATGTGGAAAGGGAGCACCACACATTGAGATTTCCTTTGGTGATATGCTCAACCCTTCATGCTGCAGCCCCATCCCACTACATGCCCATAGAGTCTTCAGGCATGTGCTGAGTACCTGGTATGTGACATGTACCGTGCAGGGTTCTTAGGACGCCAGAGTGATCCCTGCCTTCAGAGGGATTCCTGCCTTCAGAGGGATCATTCTAGTGTCCAATTCCGACGTGATGGACAGACATGTGAGTCCTTCAGGGATCCCTCTGAAGGCAGGGATCATTCTAGTGTCCAGTTCCCATCTGATGGACAGACATGTGAATATGGTTTCAACACATCAAGATAAGTGCTGTCATGGAGGAATGGATGAGAGATGGTGGCCTCATTCATTCAACATTTTCGAGTGCCTGAGTGTCAGGCAGTGTTCTGCCTAAAATGAAATACTTGCAGAAAACATAAAATGGGTCACACCTGAGTTCTGAGGCTTGGCCTGTATTTACATGACAAATGAGAATTTTAGTGAACAAAACTGAATGTCTTCTGTACACTAGCTATACATGAGCCAGAAAATGATGTTGAGGGGAAAAGTACATTTACAGCAGAATCAAAAGGAATATAGTACTTGGGAAATAATTTAACAAGGAGAAGATTCGTCCACCTATGCAGCCGGGATTTCAAGCCCCCTTACCAGTGAATTAGGAAGAGTGGAACTCAAACATCCTCATATTCTGCTCCCGAGTTCCATTTATGGTATAATTGGGGAAGTTCAAATTGCAATTTTGAGTTTTTGTTCTTTTTTAAAGACGACTTCTGTGAGTGGCTGTGAAAGGCTTCACTGTTCATCACAGTCTGCCTCCCAGAAGGGAAAGTGAAGGGCACTCCAGGATGCCTCCATGCTAAATGCACTATTATTGATGCATACTGGAAAGAACATGGGTGAAATAGCATCTTCAGAACGTGAAGGTGGGGCACCAGGGCTCCCAAACTTTGTTGTGGGGAGTACCTCTGTCCCCAAACTGAAACCTCACAGCCTAGAGCTGGTGTACCCTGACTGACAGACAGCTAAGAAGGGAAGTGCTCTCAGCATATAAGAGGGGGCCTGAAAGGTGGATGTCCATTACCACTCTGGAGCATAGAAAGCAGCCAGACCCAGGGATCCAACCCACTGCTCTCTGGGCTTACCTACATTTGCAATGACAGCCCCTTAGGACAAGGTCACGGAAGTGATTTTTGTCGGTGATGAACAAAGTGAGGTGACAAATGACCAGCTAAAGACACCTTCTTCGTACATGTGTAGCCCTTGTATGACAGATGCTCTGATCTCTGAGGGCTTGGGCTCCATTTCCGGTTTCTCACTGCCTGAGCCCACTCTAGGCCTTCACAGGTGCACTGGAGGTGGAGCCTCTGCCTAGGAAGGACAAAACGCTGATTAGTCTGTCAACTCCAGCAACAGAATTCCTTTTGGGACCCAGGCCACTCCCTGCCTCTGCCCCTACTCTTCTTGTCCATGTTTTGTGCCTTTATTCCAGTGGTTTTATCTTGGCTCTGTTTCCTGACTCCGACTGTGCTCTGATCCTTATGTGAATATGCTTCACGGCTTTGGCCCTGTTAGATTCTTTGCTGTTACCATTGGTTCTCTCTTTGAAGTTCTGACAGAGGCATCTGGGTTTCAGTCTGGCTCATTTCCTGCCTCTCAGGCTCACAGCCACTCCAGCCTTCTGCCATCTCCCTCAAGGATCCTTGGAGGTAGAGAGGAAATAATTTTACACATGGGTTAAATGGTTGTTAAAGGTCTCAGCAACTGCAGTTTCACTGGGACAAATGTTCTTTAAAGGGAATGAAACTTCTTGGCATGGATGTGTTTGGGCATGCTTTTATTTATTTGACCATATGTTTATCTTAAAATTGCAACTTTGAAGTCACACACGAGGCTAAGCACCTGCATTGCTCACCCACCATGCCCATCACATTTGCTGTCTTAACTCTTGGGAGGCTTCCTTTGACCTCCCCCTCACATTCCTATGGTCGCCACCAAAAGAAGGAACAAACAGCTGTGAGAGAACAGTCCCAGAGCTCTCGGCTCATCCTGTGAACCTTGCCAACCACACAGAAGGGAGAAGAAAGCTGAGAGCAAGGCAGCCAGTTTTGTATGGCATACTCTGCTCTTCCAGGCCTATGGACAGGCCAAATGACATTACCCTGCCCCACCTCTTATATTTGCCTTCTGTGACAGATAAGTTGCAGTGGAAGTGAGTGAATAAAAATTAGTTCTTCCAACTGCATCATTGGTTTTAAGATAAGCTTAGATCAACAACAGCTTAATGGAAATTACTGAGCACTTACAAGATGTCAAATTATGTGTGAGGACTCAAAGATGAATACAGCAGGGTTTCTGTCATCAAGCAGTGCACAGTCTAATGGGGGTGGTAAATGTTAAAACATATGTTGACCACAGTGTACAATGCATGCAATAATAGAGGCAGCTGAAAATATAGTAGCAATAGGGAGAACTCATCAATTCTGCTTTGAGGTGTCACTTGAAGGAGCCACAGGTTTGGGAGTGTAAGAGATAAGAGAAATAGATAAGAGAGAGAAGAAATCTCGCCCCGGGATCCTTGGAGGTAGAGGGGAAATAATTTTACACATGGGTGAAATGGTTGTTAAAGTTCTAAAGGAAGAAATTGCACATGGGGAGAAATAACATGTAAAAACATAGTATGGTTTGGGAACCGTATTAGTTTTCTGTTGCTGCCGTAACACAAACTTAGTGGCTAAACACAAATTTACCATCTAATAGTTCCATAGGTCAGAAGTCCAACCTCAGCCTCAATTGGCTGAAATCAAAGTGTAATCATGGCTACATTCCTTTCTGGAGGCTCCAGGGGAGCATTTAGTTCCTGGCCTTTTCTAGCTTCTGGAAGCCACCTATGTTCCTTGACTCATGACTGCCCTCCTCCATAGTCAGCAACAGTGGGTCAAGTCCTTCTCATATTTCAGATCTTTTCTCCTCCTCTTTTCATTTCCTCTGTCTAATCCCTCCAGGAACAATTCTCTGCCTTTAAGTACTCACATGATTAGATTGGGCTCACCTTGATAATCCACAATAATCTCCCCATCTCAAGGGGCCACATTCTTAATCACATTTGCAAAGTCTCTTTTGTTGTCATGTAAAGAAAGCCATCCACAGGTTCCATCCTGGAGGATAGGGAGAATCACTCTACCCACTGTAGGAACTATAGTTGCTTTTATAGAACTGAAAGCATCCTGGGAGATTAAGAGAGGGAGGAGACAGGTTTGGAGAAGGCGGCAGCTACCATATAATGAAGACCCTTGTACGTTTCATTAAGGAGCCTAGACTTAATTCTGAAGGTGATGAGGTCCTTTGAATGGTCTTAAAGCAAGGTGAAAATTGTTTTGGATGGAGCATTCTGCAGGCAGCATGCAGGACAGACTCAAGGACAAGTGAGGAAGTTCTCAGTCAGTTTGCTAATTTGATGGTGTACTGCTGTTCTGGTTACTACAGGCTGGTGAGTGATGAAAGGGGAGGGAGTGAAAGGGACAAAGCAGAGGCGACTGTTTTGAGAAGAATTGAAATGAAAAGTAGGAGAGAAAGAAGGTAATTAAATTTGAGCACAATGCCCAAAGTGGATTTTGTCTCATTTGTTTTTGAAATGAGAAAGATGAGCAAACTTATAGGTTGAAGATAACGATAATGATTATATAAAATAGCTAACACCGATTAAGACTGTATTCGTGCTCTAAGATATTAAATATGTGCATTAGTTCATTTTTTGTCTCTCTCTTACAACTGAAGAAACTGAGGCGAGGACTAGTTAAGTATCACTCCAAGTTATATAGCTTTAAAAAAATAGCAAAGCTGGTCAGGCATGGTGGCTCACACCTATAATTCCAGCACTTTTGGGGAGACCAGAGCAGGAGAATTGCCTGAGACCAGAAGTTCAAGACCAGCCTGGGCAAAATAGCGAGACTACATCTTTACAAAACATTTTGAGAAAACCTAGTGGGATGTGGTGGTGCACACCTGTAGTCCTACCTACTTTGGAAGCTGAGGCAGGAGTATCACTTGAGCCACAGGAGTTTGAGGCTGCAGTGAGTTATGATTATATCACTGTACTCCAGCCTGGGCAACAGAGCAAGACCTTGTCTCTTAAAAAAAAAAAAAAAAAGAAAGAAAACCAAAACTAGCAGAGCTATAATTCAAACCAAAATCTACTTGACTGATGATATACTTGAGTACTAGACTATGCTAGCCAGTAAAGAGGAAGAGGTAGAGATTAAAAGGAGAGAAGCTATCACTGATGACTCAATGCCTAGGAAAAAGTAGGAGAGCATGTATTTGAAAGCACGGGTGAATGTATTGCTTATAACCAGGAGGAAAGGAATATGTGGCCTAATATCTTCTGTGAATGAGTTAGGTGTGTGAGAAAGCTAAAGCTTGAGATAAGAAGCTATGGGAAAAGTCAAAGGAGTGAGGAAACAGTGTTGAGAGCTCAGCTGCATTTGGAAACTACTTCAAATGGCTATGTCATTTATTTCCAGTAGTGAGAGGGGAGCGGGCAAAAGGGAGATGAGAGTGGTAAGGATTTGTGCTTTCAAGTTTATATTACCTTCCAAAGCATGCCAACCATTCCTTAGAATGAAGCCATCCCAATAGGTAAGGTCAAAGAAATCACAAGGAGAGGGTAGGCTAATAGTTACGATTACCTTGGACAAATCCAGGTTCCCTGCACACACCAGACAAACACCTAATTGTTTCCTCATGCTGACCCCCTTCCAGATAAACGCACTTGGTGAAAGCTCTTACTGAGTCGTTACTTTCCTTGGAATGTCCTAGAATTTCAATTTTTGACATTTTTTCCATATTATTACATATCATCCATGAATCATGAACTCTTTTTAAACTATCTCTAGAGTAAATGTTTCCTTCCAGTCACACAATTGCCAACAGGGCAATTCAGTAACACAGAATCTATTGTGAAATCCTATTTATAAACTTATGACATTATAGCTAACCTCTCATCGTGTATACTCTTTGACAATTTAAAATTGACCTTTCTGCCATATTTCTTAGATTCTGCATTTTTGAAACATGACAAGCTTGAGTTCTGTACCCATTTGTATCATGCAATATGAAAATGCAACCATTTCCCATGTCTGACATTGTTAATGAGTGAAACCTTTTCATCTACTAGAATGTAGTGTGCAGTTTCTAACCAGGGATCAACCTGCTTAAAGAGACAGTTCATAATCTCACAGAAAAGTCACTTTCTGATGAATGTTGACATCTAGATTATGATTTTTTATGTTTAAGGGGGCTAAAACCTATTCTCCGCAGTTTGGTTTTTTCTTTTTAAGAGAGATTTGGTTTTTTAGAGGAGACTGAAATAACAAAGTTTATCAATCAACATCCGGAACATCTATGACTTTTCCTTCTCCAACTAACATAGAAATCGCAAGGATATACCAGGTGTTTTACCCTGTCAGCTTTCTTTGCAGGCTTGTAAGGCACCAAAGGCCAGCAAGATGATTGACACAGAAAACAGGAAAGGAAACCTGTTTAGTTTTCTGCTTTTCTGTGGCCATAAAACTTGCCAGCATGCATCCTTGGCCCACCTGCAATTAGGCTTCATGCCATTGCTGTTAAAGATAGAACTCAACTTAGTGAAAATACAGTCGAGCATTCACTAAGTCAGAGCTAGAATCTGCCTGTACATCTGCCACTAAGACCTGATCACAGCACTGGCTAGCTCAAAATTCTGCTCTAATTGCCTCTTGTGTACAGCAATAGTCTGCAAGCACATTTTTAATAGTCTTTTGTTATTAAAAGTACATACACGTTGGAAAAATTAGAAAACACAGGCAAGCAAAAATAGAAACATAAAAGCAGAACATTCTTACTACCCAGAGAATATCATTTTAACATCTTAGTTCTATCCTTCTGGATCTCTATATATTTACATACTCATATGTAAAATAAGATTATCTCTTATGGGCAGTTCTTACTTTCTGGCTTGAGATGTCCCAGCTTCACTGTGTTATCTTCTCTGTACCAGACCTGAAAATCAGCCATTTCTGACACTTGCTGCTTGCTTTTGGTGGGAAATGAGATTAAAGACCAAAATGTATTAGGGGTTCTCATTGTTGTTAATGTGGCATTGTTTCTAGATAATTATATATTTTTAACCTTTAAGTTCAGTGGCACAAGTGCAGATTTGTTACATAGGTAAACTTGTGTCATGGGGGTTTGTTGTACAGATTATTTCATCAACCAGGTATTAAGCCTAGTAGCCATTAGTAGTTTTTCCTGATCCTCTCCCTTCTCCTACCCTCCACCCTCTGACAGGCCTCAGTGTGTGCTGTTTTCCTCTACGTGTCCATGTGTTTTCATCATTTAGCGCCCACTTATAAGTGAGGACATGTGGTATTTGGTTTTCTGTCCCTGTGTTAGTTTGCTAAGGATAATGGCCTCCAGTTCCATCCATGTCCCAGCAAGGGACATGATCTCATTCTTTTTTATGGCTGCATAGTGTTCCATGGTGTATGTATACCACATTTTCTTTATCCAGTCTATCACTGATGGACATCGAGGTTGATTCCATGTCTTTGCTATTGTGAATGGTGCTGTAATGAACATATGCATGCATGTGTCTTTATGATAGAATAATTTATATTCCTTTGGGTATATACCCAGTAATAGGATTGCTGGATTGAATGGTAT